TCAGTCAAGAAAGATCGTATACACTTGAAATTTTCAGCACTACAAGCTCACAAGTACTGCTGATCAATCTGAAAACTTTAGATTGTTTAGTTGTTTCATTCTTGACTTACAGGATTTTGTTTATCATTTAAAAACAGAAATTTCGTAGCCTGAAGAAATCTAATTTTTGTGTGAGAGCTTCGGAAGTAAGAAAACTCAATGTTGTGTGAGAAATTTCGCTGTCCATCCAAGAATGAACGTCATCTTCGATCTGCCGGTAGAGATCTCTCACATTAGCAAGATATTTTCTTTATCAAAAATCTTATACAAGCAAAACCACAGCAAAACAAACTATTTCCAAACTTATGAAATTTGTTGGTAGAGCAGTTGGAAATAAGTATTTGTAAAGGGGTAAGTATTTGTTTACAAATGCCTATTTTCAAACTGTTTATCTTGGTTATACGTTTAACAGAAATCAAAGAAAACGAACGAGAGCAAACTTACAACAAAGAAAAAATCTCAATGTTTGTGATAACTATCATAGAAATGCAAGAAACACATAACCTTTGAACAGAAACTACATTTTAGAAACGATGCATTTCTACAATTTGGTTGGCAACAACGACCTTCAGAAAACGAAAAACAGACTTCCTTAACATTTTGAAAGGAATCAGGGCTTGATTTCAAGTATCCTGATTGATACCACGCATAGAGGTTCATTGGGGTGAACTTCGGTGAAGACAGCTGATTATAGGCCAAACTATTCATTTTTATCATATTGTTTCATTGAGCTAAACTGGAATCCAAATCATAAAGACGAACATGATTGTAAATTTCTCGAATGAAGTGTTTGTACTGACGATTCTACCCTACATCCAATGGTTGAATCATTGAAGTTGTCTTTTTTGGAATTTCAAGTCGCTTTAAATGTTTCATTTTATTAAATAACATTTCAGTCCTCTGTCCAGTAATCACTTAAGAGCAGACATTTTTTGTCATCAACCAAAGGCAAAAGTACATGATCACTCCAATATTGTGCAAGAATGAAACAACTAAACAATCTAAAGTTTTCAGATTGATCAGCAGTACTTGTGAGCTTGTAGTGCTGAAAATTTCAAGTGTATACGATCTTTCTTGACTGATTTGTAAAGTTTTCAAATTTTGGCCATTTAAGCTGGGAGAACAGAAAATTGGCCCTAACTTTTCAAGAAAGAGCCGTGGGCACAAATCCTTTTAGGGTTTTTACTATCTCGATGCCTTCTATCAAACAGCCTATGAATGAAGGGAATCGGCGTTGGGCACCTCGGGCGGTTACCTCGTGAGTGAACAACGTTGTAGTAATAATACATTACAACGGTAAAATCTCATCAAATATAATCACACAATAGAATAACAGTTTTGTACAACATGAGCTTCAAGAAAAATAAAGGACTTTTGGATAAGAGTGTTCCAAAATAAAACATTGATATCAAAATCCAATTAAACTACTTGAAATGACGAGAAAAATGAACAGATTAGTCGCACAAATATTTAGAATGTAGAAAAAAACTTCAAATTCATCATTTTCTTACGACGATTTATCAGAGAACCTCGACTGTCGAGGAAAGTACCCCAACTGATAAATCGCTTTTTGACCCAAACCTAGTGGACTATAGGTAGTCGACGATGCTGATTCCGAATATCATCATAACTGCTGCTGCTAGGCCTTCAAAGACCGGTTTTCTGGAAAACCAGTTTTCGAGAAACTCTAAAGAACAACAAAAGCTTTTTTAATGAAGCGTAATTGTAGTCTATACATTTCTGATTAAAACGAGGCATCTCTCAGCTCTACACGACCTTTCTTTGAAAAGTTATAGAGTTTACAAGAAAAGCCCTAAATGTTCATTGTCACCTCAGAGCTACAGAAAGAAAAAGGAAAAAGAATTTACAAAAAAAGCCCTAAATCCCTATAACTTTGCAAAGAAAGGTCGTGTAGAGCTGGGAGATGTCTCATTTTAGTCAGAAATTTATGGACTACAATTACGCTTCATTAAAAAAGCTTTTGATTGTTCTTTAAAGTTTCTCGAAAACTGGTTTTCCAGAAAACCGGTCTTTGAAGGCCTAGCAGCAGCAGTCATGGTAATATTCGGAATCAGCATCGTCGACTATCTATAGTCCACTAGATTTCGTTCAAAAAGCGATTTATCAGTTGGGGTACTTCACTCGTGAGGAGAGTTTAACCTCTTGAAACCTTAACGTTAAGTAAAAACAACTTTATACTTTTTTTAATCCTATCAACATAGAAAGTAAATAAAATAAAGTATTTCTTGAAAGTATTTGGTTGGATGATATCAGACAGTGACTTATGTTTTAGGTCACTGGTACCAATGTCGAACTGGAATCGACTCAAAAATTTGAATAAATATAAATTTTTACAAACTTTACAGGATATATAAACTTTCGATTAAAAACAGTATCCTGATTTGAAAATATACAGATACACTAGAACAAACATGCAAAATTTTGCTGAGAACTCAGTTTTGACAGGTCAGATCATTTAAGAGATATACTAACAAGTTGTTGTTAGTAACAACAAGTTCGATGCATAGAGTAGACATAATTTTAACAAACACTTTATCTAAAGTAGATAACAACGACAAACTTATACATGCTCTTTTAGTTTAAAGAAACGTTGAACGATCTAATCTAATAGAGTTCAGAGTCATATCTATTCTAACACGAGTCACTCAATACTTCAAACTATCTAAAGGAAGAAACACTATAATCAAAATCGATCGGATACGCTTCTCCTTGTGCAACTAGTGAGTATAAATGGATGAAGGTGCACTAGTACTGTATGCGAAAAAATCTATCAGTTGTAGTTTCACTCATTTTTTAAAAGATAGAGAAAGACAGAAATAGAGTCAATGATAGTTAAACGATACTTGACCTAACTTTTAGTTCAAGTGTAATCTAATCGTGAGAGTATAAGTCATTTTCTCCTATCAAAATGATTGTTCACCTTCGACTAGAGAAATCTTCAACTGTGTTCTTACAATACCTACCCCAAATCAATTGTATCAGGCATAAAATAACGATTATTGGATTGAACGAAGAATGATCTGCATAACAACGCAAAAGAACCATTTGACATTACACGGAAAATATATACCATTTTAAATTTTTTGTGTATGACATCAAGATTTTTCGCTAAAGCTTCCCAACAAAAAGCAAAAACAATATCTTCAAACTCAAGAACATTCCCGATCAAATTACAGAAGTTTATTGTGGACATGTTACCCTAAACCAAGTGACATCTTCGAACAGCATTAGTTTTCATTGTATACACAAATAGCTGTCCATTATTGTATAGAATACTAAGAGATTTACAATAAATTTTCTAAGGTATAAATTCTAACAATTTTATAAATATCAGAAAAAACACGACCATTATTATTTAAGACTTTAAGTTTTGTTAGCACTCTCAGATCCTATATTCAAAGTGAAACAATGAAACTGAAGAAGAACAAATACAAGAAAAGAACATACTATAATATAAAAAGAATTCAAACACAGGAGCTAGGATGAAACGAATGATGTAGATAGTTTGTGCACAGTTCTCTGATTTCTATGAACAAAAATATTTTTTATTTTTCAAATTTGTCTTTTCGCTTTTCAGCGCACACAGATACTAAAAATAAAAATTTCAATTAAATAAAAATTATGTATATATTTATCTCTTTTTCGATTGATTATTTTTAGACAAAAAAAAATTGTCCTAGATTTTCTTGTGTTTTCTATTTTTAAGCGTTGACATTTTGATCACGAATTAAATGCAGTCTATCACCTGCTAAACGTGATGATAAAGGTGGTGCTGGTGGAGGTGGCCGTGGAATTCTTAGGACAACTTTGACTGTGTCATAAATAAACCACTGCAAGGCTGTTAATGTACCAATCATAAGTATTCTTGGACCGAGTCCTTTCCATAAACCTAAACAAAACGATTAACTTAACAAAAGATTTAAAATAGAGAAAAAAAATAACAAGTTTAGACACTAGCAAAAGAATAAGATGTATTCTATGGAAAAAAAACTTATTGTTATGCCAGACTTGCAACGTTAAGATTAGGCTAAAGAGAAAAATGAATACAAACCTGCAAATCCCACTCGCCGTACAGCTTCAGTCAAACTAAGTCCTTTTTCATTGTTCAATTTTGATACAATTGTATCAGCGGGATGAGACACAATAGCACAAAATATCCCAGCTGAAAAGCAAAAAAACACGTTCTATTTGTCCACGATTATATGATATTGTTCTAACCAATATAGCCGGCAGCAAATGTTACAGTCAATTGTTCAGGTTTTGAACACTGATCACGGGGTTTTGGTACAACATATTTATATATTGCTTCAACTGTACGCTCGAAACAGGCAAATTTCATCATTGTGTATGGAACTTGTCTCAACCACAATGGTACAATGCCTTTGTAAAATCTAAAGAAAAAGCTTAACTGTAATAAAGTTAAAAACATTTTTTAAAACACCAACGTACCCCCAAAGTCCTTCTTCGCTATACAGTTTAGGTAATCCTTGTCTCAAATCTGATGCCCAATTGTCTTGTGTTTGAATACGGACTTTTGTTGCTTCCCATGGGGCTAAAGCTATATCGGCAAAAAATTCAGCTGACGCACTAGCAGCCAGATACAATACTGTACGATATAAATAAGCTTTTTCCTAAAATGAATAACATACTACTGACTCTTTCCATTCAAAATATTCAATGATTAAAAACATACTTCGCCAAGCATATGTGCATACAAGTTTTTGAACAATTCATAAAAGCCAAATTTTCCTAAACCTTGTAAGGAATAGCCAATCAATGTTGGTGCCCATCCTTTGATAAGACCACGGGTACCCTCTTCCCTAAAATAAAGAATTGAAAAATCATAAACATCATCTATTTTTGTAGATACTAATCCCACTCACGCAATAGTTACTTTGAATCCAGTCACTAAATTTTTATATTTTTGTGGTTTTACTTGAAGACGACATTTAACTAGATCCAATGGCACAACAGCTGTATGAGTTAAACCACAACTCAAAACGCCACTAAGGCCACAATACATATAATATTTAAGTGATCCATATTCACAACTATATTGCTCTAAAAGTAGATTAAAAAAATCAACATTTGTATAAAGACCCAAATGAGACTCATTTACCTTTTCCGGATGTTGCCGAAGATACTCGTTTATCACCGTTTGACTGATAAAATGGAGATGAAAACGGGCATTTATTGCCTAATTCGACAACAGACCGTGTAATTGTTATCTAGAAAAAAGGCACACAGTCAAAGAAAAAAGTAGATGAAACATTAATAATTAGAAATAAACAAGACCAAATAAAATAATCTACTTCTTTTAAGCAGCAGAGATGTCGTGAAAATCCAAGACATTGCGAGGACAAGCAAAGAAAAAAAAACTTTTTAATGGTAGTACAGCTGATTGAACGAAAGAATAGTTCGAATGATAACAATTTTAACAACGCGAATTGTTTCCTAAGCGGGGAATAAAACAAAAATACCCAAAAATAAAAAATGAATATCTTACAAGGCATTTGTAAGGTATAATTGTAATTAAACGTAGACATGTAATAAGATGGCCGACGATTCTGTTTTCATATAATTCAGATATGGAATTCATAAACCAACGAGATCGATGAGGATGATGTGGATAATGATAAGGGTAAGTTCTGAATGAAAAATGAAAGAAACGATAGTTTTCAAATGCAGAACGGTAAAATAACGTGAAAAAAAAACAAGATCAAAATCATCGATCTGGTTCTCAAAAATCACTAAAAAAAATCATTCCATGGCAAATGCAACTCACTTCTGCAATCCATAGCTGCCGCTATCATGATTATTATTATTAGTTCGTTTAGTTAACATATGACACTTTTTTTATTAAAATTCTTCTAGTTTTTTTTGCTTTTTGTTACATTATTGTATAAAAGAAAAAAAAGAATCGTACCTATACTTGTAAATAACTTGTTCTTCCTTTACAACAACTATTGCTCTACTCTCGGTTTTTTTCATGCAAATGCTTCATAACTGTTTTTTTACGCATACAGAAAGAGAAAAGGTAAAAGAAGAACGCATGCATGAGATAGACTATAAATCGTACATGCTGCTGTTTGTTTGAACGATGTATATATATATGTATATACGTATATGACAAATGACAGAAGGACAAACAAATGAATACATGGACATCTTATTTTTTTAACGTGCAATAATCGCTCTTTTCAAATGAGTCTATTAAATTAGCTCTTTCTATAAAGTAAAGAATGTGGACAAAATCATCCGTTATTTTTTCCTATAATTGATTCATCTCTCACATGTGCTTCTCAGCCTTGACTTCAAATGTTGAACTTTTTGTATGTGAACCAGTGACGTTTTGATCAAATTTAAATCTAATAGGTCTCTCGTTATCACAGAAATTGACAATGGGGTGACTTTGAGGTGCGATATCACACAAAATACGCTATAGATTTAGTTAACTTGCACTATAATTATTAGATATTAAATTGCGTCAGAATGAAGTTGATGCAGAATGAAGTTGAAGCAGCCAGTTACATCTTGTAAAAGTACAGCAAAGAATTAGAAGAAAATTTATTCATTAGCTTTATGACGTTCATCTGACTGGCTATTTTTGTCCTATTATAATTCAACTTTATTCGCAATTGTCTTATTTTCATCGCCAGAGATTGGTCACCATTCGTCCTAACCATTCGTTACCTAGAAATTACTGAGTTCTACATGTTTGCAATATAATATAGAGATATCAACTAAAATGCTGTCTCCATCAAAAATAAACATGCTCCATCGCCGAAGGATCTTTAGAATAATAATGAAAGCTCTTTAGCAGTGATCTTGTTACGGTCTGAATTAGATAGTAAATTCTAAACGCCCGCATTGAATATACTTCTCGCAGACTCGAGTGACAAATCACGTTTTTTTTATAGTAAATGATAAGACATCTCTCTAGTTTATCCATGAAAAAGGAACGAGGAGTGCCAGAGAGAACAAAAACATAATTTTAATATTACACAGATATATCACATCATAACAAGCACAGTCAATAGCTATCCCTTTTGTAATCAATAATTAATAAAATGAATAAAATGTATGAAATTACTTTGGATGGTTCATTCAGTATAACACCATAAAATTGACTACTAAAACAATAGATTAATGAGAAAAGAATAAAATTTGTTCTGATCTATCTACAAAAAAAGATCAATAAGACAACACATAATAATAATAGATACATGCAGCAAATTAAATCAATAATTTTACTTGCATAGAGTAGTTTTTTAATGATTAGTGAGTCTCGCTTGAGCAAAATGGGTTTCTATTTTGAAAATTCGATTTCCACTTTGTTTTTAGCAGTGAAAACATGGAAAATGCAGTGATAAACTGTGGAAACCCATTTTGCTTAAAGTTCCTATTAAAACACTGGCATAGAACGTCACTAATAGAGATTTGCAATTCAGCTAAAACTTGTTGGCTAACTTTTTGTCCGTGAAAACATGGTAAATCAAGCTCTCCTACTTCAGTTGACTCTACAGTGAATAGTTGCCAAAAAGTCTGTATTCCCTTGACTTTAGGCTTGGGTGTTACAAAATGGTTCTCTGTGTGTATGTCTGTGCGCAAAATACGGAAAAATGGCTGCTAGATATTGCATGGATAGGCCAATCATAAGAGAGGAAAATAGAAACTTATTTTTTACATGACAGAGAAAATCTTTAGAGAGATGACTGAAATAGTATTTACTGATACAGAGACAAAAAAGCTAAGCAAACTTTTTCTGTAGTTAGGCGACACATGTCGCCATAAAGCAGTTAATTTTCATAACAGATAAAAAGTCATCTACGGATAATAAAAGTTACTATCAGAAGTATTTGCAGGCTCCCTTTGGATCGTCAGAGAGTGTCAAGAAAACCTTTTTGCTTTGTATTACATTGTGCGCTTTTTCTGTGGAATCACCAGAAGTTCACAACATTTCGCAGTTATGCTGGGTTACGAGGTACTTTTACACTTTAAGGACACTAGCGTCCGCCATCTTGGAAGATGGCGGAATCCATGTAATACAAATGGTAAACTATGGACCAATCAGAAAATGCTGGAGAGGCTGTCCTGGGTCGCTGTGGTG